GTTTCTATTAATTGAATCACCGACAAAAACCAGTCTTTTTCCACTGATCAACTTTAGAAACTTCACAGGGCTAAACCTAAATTTCAATCAGAAACCAATTCTTCCATTTACTCAAACGCTAAAGCTCGATTAAAAACATGAGATAAAACACATAAGAAGTGGGGATTGTACCTTGGGATATTACAATTATTTGGCTGCCACCTCCACTTCATGTAGTCAGCATCGCTTCTCCCATTGGCTTCGCATCTAAAACCTTCATCTATATAGGGGCAGGCATTGCTTGAATAGAGGGGGTAGCTCTCATCATAGACCCATCTTCCATCTAAAACGTCACAAGGTTTAGCGCCCTCCTCAAAGAAATTACCAGAACTTCCATTACTAGTCAAACTGCTAAAGTTAGAGATCACTGCTTCAGAACTTGGAGTAGTTGAAAATATACCACCATTTGTAGAAAATGCACTTCTCCCAGGCGCATTCTTTTCCGCCCCAACTAAATCTAAACCCTCTTCTGATACAATAGCAGATCTACCGCTGGAGGTTTGTGATGGAAGCAGGAGAGTCGTCTGCTTTCGAGGCTTTTTGAAGGTCAGAACTGAGCGGCACTTGGGTTTGAGGGGAAGCTGAGAGACAGATGCTAAAAGCCCAGAAGGCCAGGAAAAGGGAGAAAGGAATGGTGAAGGAGAAGAAGAGGATCCTAGTGGTCTTAAAGGAGAAGCTCTTCTGCCTCTCCATAGCCACTAACCTCTTGAGGAGATGGTTGAAGGCCTCGAGATTGGGGGAGATCAGTAACCTAGAGTTGGGTGAAACTGAGGAATGCTGAAGTTTGCCGGCTTGAAATATTAATTTATATACGGAGAGAGAAAATGAGAACTACGAAGAACGAACTATAAGTGGACGGTTTCTCATCAACGATACAAGAAACCCGCAAATTGCAGGACATTTTAAAATAATAATTTATTTAAATATTAATAGTCATTATTGAGTTATAAGCCTGGAAGGGTAATGCCCCCTTCAACCAATTCCTTCGTGCTATTTTAATAGTTTCAAAATTTATTTTCTACCCCTTCTGAATAAAAAAAATTATTACTTGCAGAATTTTTATGTAATTCTACATCTGAAATATGTGTACATACTATATACAAATATATATTATGTACATTTTGTACACACAATGTACAAATATTGTCCTAAAATAACTCTATGTCCGGACTCCGCGCAGAATAATTTATCCCCTCATCAGCATACTTATTAGAATTCATCGTGTTTGTGCATTCCAATATCATTTAATCTCTAATCCAAATCAATCTAATTAGCAATTATATTCTATATTGAATTTGAAGTAACTAATCTTCATTTCATCATTTTTATAATAATCATCTTTATTTAATTTGTCTAACATGAATCATGATATTGATTAACTTTTTTTTACCTTAGTTGTTCTTTGATTTCAAATTTTGAATATTTCCTTTTTACTATTATGGAATTAATATTGTAATTGCAATCGGTTGAAAACCATTTTCTAGGTCAATTCTTTTGGTTTATCTTTTAACATCTTTCATTAAAATTTCTACTTCCCTTTTTGTTATTGTCAAAAGGGGAGTAATATTATTGTTTGTTTGCTTTGTTTGCATTGATGTTTGTTATTTGAATTGGGTTCTTTCGTGTATGTATTTTGTGTGAGTTTGTATTCATATTTTTGGTCGAATTGTTTGTTTGTATTTTGTGTGTGTTTAGTGTTTGTATTTTTGTTCGAATTGTTTTTGATTTGGTGTCTTTTATTATTTTATTATTTTTTATTTTTGGTTTAGAGTTCTTTAATCTTCGTGGGAATCTCTAGATTTACATATGGTCATTCATTTAAGGGAGCTAATGAGAAATTTATGGTTTAAATGTTAACTCAAACAATAATTATTTTCCTTAATAAAAAAGGGAGAGATTGTTGTAACTTAGTTTTCATAATTATATTTTCATATCATGTGTGTTTTTTTATGATTCCAAATATTATTATTTTGATTACTGTTTCTCCTAACATATATTGAATATATTATATTTGTTGTTTGTGTGTACTAATATTTCAGAGAAATCATACTCCAGACTGTTGTGTAACTGTGCACTTTATTGAGTCTGAGGGAGTGTAATTATAATTTTGTAACTATGCACACACACACACACACTTTGGGGTGTTAAAAAACTTATATTTTTTTAAACTAATTGTATTGTACGATTTCAATTCGTACGGGATGATTTATTCAGTTATTTCCTCCAGGAAGTTGTAAACTAAAGCATGGACGAAAAAAAATTCTAAGTATTATTCGTACTGTGCGAAGTTGTCTTCGTATAGATGAAGTCCAAAGTATGAAAATGATGTGAACATTTTCGTCTATACGAGCAGGTAAATTTTTTGAATTGTTCGTTCGGGACAATCTAGAGTTCGTACAGATGATGCCAATAGTACAAAAATGTTGCAAAAATTTTCGTCCATACGAATAGGAAAAAATTTTGAACTATTATTCCAGGATAATTTTTGTCTTCGTACAGACGACGTCTAGAGTACGAAGATGTTGCAAACATTTTCATCCATACAAACAGGGAACTTTTTTAACAATTTGTCCGGGACGATATAGTTTCGTACTGTATGATGTTCTTTGTACGAAAATGCATCGTACAAGTTCGTAAGAGAAAACTTTGTATTGTTCATACGTACGAACATTGATTGTAATGTACGACCGCAGACACTCAAACTTATAATTTTTAGTGTTCAGGATGGTTTTTGTGTCTTTCATATATAAACACCTTAGAAATTGATTTTAAAAAAAAATCTTCTTCGTTTTTCTTGAGAGAAAAAGTGTGAGTGTTTGGGAGAGTGTTTTGAGAGTGTGGAGAGAGATTTTTCAAGTGGGAATTATTAAGAGTTAATAAGGTTACCCAATTGTGAGGATCTCTTTGTAAGTATTATCAATTCTCTTCCCTACTTCTTCGGAGTTGCTCGTCAAAGATCTTTGAAGAAGATTTGGTTCTCTACCGATACTAGGAGGGTGTGAAAGGATGATGATTCTCTACCTACACTTGGAGTTGTGTGAAAGGATGACGATATTCTACCAACACTTAAAGGGTGTAAAAGGATGACGGTACTCTGCCGACACTTGGAGGGTGTGAAAGGATAATGGAACTATGCCGCACCGGGTATTAGTGAAAGAAAGGTTAATTGTAAAGGTTTCTCCACCTTGTTGTGGGGATAAAATAAGAGTCGTTTTGATAATAGTGCAATACTTGAAGAGGGAGTCTTCAGGGAGTGGATGTAGGTTTAGTTGGAGCGAAGCACTATAAATCTTTATGTTCTTTTTATTTTTTTGCAATTTTATTTACTGCACTTTTTATTTAAGTGGTTGAAAAAAGTTTTGTTTTTGGAGAAACTTAAATTGTGCATTTAATTTTATAATTGTTTTTTATTCAAGAGATAGTTTTTTTTAATTACCAATTCACCCCCCCTCTTGGTTAGCCTTGGTACAATTTTGTTAGGTCTAACAGCCTATTCGAACCACTCCCAATTTACCCTTAATCATCCTCATATTTACTAGTCATGCCACTCTCAGAAAACTATAAATAGACCCCTCTTTCCTCATAGAAAGGGACCCCCGAATGAGGGTGAAGGAGGATGCCCAAAAAAAAAAAAGAAAGGAAGTGAAGGAATAGAAGTAAGAAGAGAAACTTGAGTTCTCTTACCACCAAACTCCTCCTCGACTACCACTGGACTTTCACCTGGTATCATACTAACGTCGGAGTTCAGCCCGACCGTAGACTAATGTAAGAGTTCTTCCCGACGCCGAAGTTCCAACCTTTGTCAAACTTCTTCATATCTTCAAACTTTATGTGGAATTTTACCTAACGTCAAACTTCCGCATATCACCAGATTTCTACATGACATTGGACTTCCGCCTGTTAGTGGACTTCTACTTGATATCGGACATTCTCTTGTCGCTAGATTTCTACCCAGCATTGAACTTCTGCCTGTCCCTGGACTTCTTCTTGTCTTCAAACTCTCATCAAACTTTTATCCGATGTTGTTCTTTTGCTCGTTGATAAACTTCTTCCCATTGTAAAAATTCTACCCTATGCCAAACTTTCACCCTTCACTTACATTGGTTATTCCAATCTCCTACATAAGATAATAGTCTTTTTAACTACTATCGCCTATCGACTATGACCCTTACGACATATGTTACCATATAATGATATTTTTACCTTTGTCGCTTGCCTAGTATGGTCCTTCCAACCTCCATAAATAGATTGTGATCCTTCTGACCTTCATCTCTAGACAACGGTCTTTTATGACTACTATCGCCAACCAACTGTGGTCCCTCCAACCACCATCACCAGACTATAACCTTTTTTATTATGGTTTTATCAACCAAACAGATGTATCAATAGTGATTCTTTCAACTCCCATCATATAACACATGCTAAGGCCATCCCCCAAGGAAGGGCCTCATTTGTACTCAACTACAAATATTAGTGAATTCATTCAAACTGGGCCAGGCCCCATAATTTTTTTCATTTTCAGTGTTTTCCACATAAAAATTTTGTGTCTCTTATGAATATTGCACCCTCACTATTTTATCTTATTAGATGTTGGATATTCATATAAAGCTAAGACATTAAACTTTATACTTCTCTACCACCTCGAATATTCCAATACGCAATAATTTGGCATTATCTATGGGAATAGAACTCACGACCACATGGTTTGGTCCAGTGATAGTCTCTAATATGTATCCTTCAGATAATGAGATGATTTATATCTACATAGTTTGACACTGTCTGTAGGAACATGGTTAATAATTGGGGGGCAATTTTTTCTCCAACCTCAAAAAGTCATTCATGTCAATGTGCTGGCATCAACTATGTTGAGATAGTTGTTATGCATGTTTGATATTCTTACAAGTTATATATTTTTTATGATTCTAAATATTATTGATTTGATTATTATTTCTCCTAACATATTTTGGAAGAAATATTTTTTCTCTTGTGTGTACTAACATTTTAAGGAAATCATACTTCGGATCGTTGAAGACTTCAAATCAAGAACAGTTTAGAGTTTATTGTAATCAAAGTATGTATTTTTTATTTTATTGATTCTAAAAGTGTGTGATTGTAATTGAGTAACTGAGCACACAGAAATCGGAGGAGAGTTTTAAAATTTATATTTTTAAACTGATCGTACTGTACGATATCACTTCGTACGGGATGATCTGGTCAGTTATTTTTGTTGAGATAGTTGCTATGCATGTTTGATATTCTTGCAACTTATATATTTTTGATAATTCCAAATATTATTTATTTGATTATTATTTCTCCTAATATATTTTGAAAGAATTATTTTGCTTTTGTGTGTACTAACATTTCATGAAAATCATACTCTGGATTGTTGAAGACTTTGAATCAAGAACAGCTTAGGGTTTATTGTAATCGGAGTATGTATTTTTTATTTTATTGATTCTTAGAGAGTGTGATTGTAATTGAGTAACTGAGCACACACACACACACACCAGGGGGAGTGTTTTAAAATTCATATTTTTAAACTGATCATACTGTACGATATTACTTCATATGGGGCGATGTG